AAAGCGACTTCAGCTTCGTAAAAAGTCGAACATTAAGAGACATTTTACAAGAAACTGATCTACTTCTGGGGAAAAGTTTCCTGCTGGAGATGCGAGAAAAGCAGCTATAGCTGAGCTAAAGCTTAAAGCAGAGCAGAGTAAGTCTGTGTTTCCGTTTATATTATATTTTTAGTCTATACTAGTTCATCAGCACAGACTGAGACATATTTACAGCCAAGATGGTAAAATGGACATAAAATGTTGTGGCTCCCGAGGTGGTTTGATTTTTGCTGAAAGGACAAAAAGGCTCTTTTTAACATTTGGGTTGCGACCCCTGGTCTAACTCATCTACAAGCAGTTCACAAGCTCTGTGTTATCAGGCCAAATTTCCCTACTTAAAACTTGATGATGTAGACTATGATTAAACCTGCTGCTTTTGCAGTTTGAAAACTGCCTTTTCAAATTGTGATTTTGATCTAAAATGATTAATCTTTCAGCCCTACTCATTCCTCCCCAGCTGCTGTGCCTTCTGTCATTGTTAAAGTAATTCACCCAATAAGAAGCTCTTTAAGGCACAGCTAATGTACATGCGCTTTTAAGAGATGGATAAAATTCTCATCATTATAGAATAGAATATATACCAACCATCAACCAGTAGCTCCATCCACTTTTGGCAGGAAACAGTTTGGAAAAAACTAAACTGCACTGCAACTAAAAACTGCATTTCAGGGACTCCAGGATAATGACCGAGAACCACTGGTGTAACATAATCATGTTAGCCTGTTTGGCTCGGGTGGACCAATCAAAGATGAATCAAATCAGTCAGATGATCCAACAAATATAAATCACTTTCGTCAGAAATGGTGCACGCCAGTCTTTAACCACATCATGTCAACAATTCACTTTAATGTACTGCAATATGTAGCAGTGTAATCACAGTTTAGAACGTTCTGATTGATCCTTCTGTCCTTGTCCAAGTTATCTGTATCTCACCTCTCCGAGAAACTCGCTCTCCTCCTCGCGCACCCTGGCCTGATCCCACAGCGTGATCTCCAGCATGCGCTCCCTGAACTCCCGCCTGTGTACGGGGGAGTACATGAACGTCTGGTTCCACTTGGGCTCCAGCGACTTCTTCACCGTTTTCGTTCTCCTCTTGCTTTTGTCACTGAGAAAGAGGGGAAAGAGGGTGAGCTTGTATCCTCATATTATCAGAGTAGCTCCTGAAGTCCACAGCTGAGTTTACCAGCAGGTTCAGTGCTGTAGTCCACCTGCACTGCATAGGCTGAGAAGACTGAAATGAAAGTCGCTAGAAACGTACATGATTCAAATGTGTACACTGGCTAAACATAAACGAAGTATGTTTTATCTTCATAATCACTGTGTGTAAATGCTTAATTAACGTAATTTAACTGGCTGGCGCCGGCCTCTAGAAACTCGTGAGGCACAGCCATGCTAATGGCCACACCAGGAGGCTCATGGGAGGTGCGCACCCTCCAGAAATGTGTCTCTCTGCACTGTTTATGTTGTTGTTTGTCAGTTAAAGGTATGTGGTATGTGTTTATTGTGTTGTTCTGTGTCAGAGAGGGTTGCATTATTGGGGGTTGGAGGTCACTGTGATGATGAAGTGTATGGCTAGTGTTGACCTCCCTCTGTGAGTTCTGTGCCTTTCTGCCCTGGTGATTAATAAAGAGCATTTCTTATGTTATTATCATGTCTCCCACCGTGTCTGACTCTATGCCAACATTTCAATATTTTATATATGTTCAACAACTTTTTTCAGTGTTGGCTAACGCAGCTCCCGAAGGACTTGATCAGTAGCCAATGACAGGAATCGGACATATAAAAACACAATACTGTAAAATGCAGGTGATCTACTGGCCTCACTAGCATCTGTGGCAAGACAGAAGCTCTTATTTAAATTTTAACCACTGGATTTCGTCCAAAGTCCAGTGCTTTTGTCACACATTTGCACAAACAAATGTGCTGGTAGCAAAACAACAATAACACAAGTTCCTCCGTACCTTCTGTCAGGAAGGAAGTATATTTTGACGTAGGGGTTCCTGGGCCGGCCGTCTTCCCGAGCAGGCAGGTCTTTGGCTCCCAGGATGGTGACGATGAGCTGGTGTCCCACTTTGTCGTACCACAGCTTCACCTTCAGAGAGAGCACAGCTGGGTTAGCCTGTCCGGCGGGAAGGCTCTCAAGCTGCCCAAAGGACCACATGCGTGTCAGGGCTTTCTTAAAGCAGGTCCATCATCCACACGGCTCAACTACGCACACTGAGCTGTTTTCCCAGCTTTGTGTCTTGTTGTTTTTTTTCTACATTGCTGAAAACAATAGTTCAGCTAAAAATCAAACGTACACAGTTGTGTTCCACAAATGTATTTGATCAGATAAGACGTGTTTGGTGTCTGAAATTTGCTTCATTAGCTCTGCACTGGAGCTATGAGACTAACGCAGCTATGGAAAGTGTGTGACAATTTAGGCATGCAGTTAGCATGAAGCAGATAAAGCTCTGCTGATCGTTCAACAGAGTTTAACAGTAAATGGTCTTAAACTCTGGAGTTAATGTAGAACTGCTAATTCACCCTTTAACCCTGAAGATCAGCGCAGACTGCTGGTCACCATAGCAACGCAGACAACAGTCTCACCTAGCTAGTAGCGAAACGGCAAAGAGAGAGATTTAAGATGAACATCGATAATTTGGAGACAAATGGACTTATTTGTATTTATAATCACTCCAGCTGGTTTCCTGATATGTTTAATCTGCAATGAGGAACTGTCAAACACTAAAAGGCGCAAAGCTGAAGTCACTTCTCATTCGCCAGCTTCTTGTTTGAATGTTCCCGTTCCACCTTAAATGGTGCAGCAATTACATTCTGGCGCCTCAGGCACCATTTAAGGTGGGACGGGAAAATTCGAACAAGAAGCTGGTGAATTAGAAGCGACTTCAGCCTCGTAAAAAGTTGAACATTAAGAGACATTTTACAACAAACTGTTCTACTTTTGTGGTAAAGTTTCCTGCTGGAGATGTGAGAAAAGTGACTATATCTGAGCTAAAGCTTAAAGCAGAGCAAAGTGAGTCTGTGTTTCCGTTTATATTTTATTTTTTAGCCTATATTAGTACATAGTGAAACATATTTATAGCCAAGATGGTAAAATGGACATAAAATATTGTGGCTCCCACGGTGGTTTGATTTTTGTTAGAAGGACAAAATGGCTCTTCTTAACATCTGGGTTGCCGATCCCTGTGTTATCTACATTCAGTGGTATTTCTGTAATCTTAAACCTGCTAGCAGCTAACGTTAACCGTAAATAATGACTATGTCGGGTTGCAAAGGATGTGTTTGAAACTGGGTTCCATGGATGAGATGCATTATGAATAAGAGGGACATAAACAAATGGTGACACTTTCTATGAATGTCACCTTTGTAAGCATCTATAAACACATTCATAACATGTTATAATGTATTCATAAGGCATTATAAACATAGCTATAAATATTTATAAAAATGCATTATATGTTATAGCCATGTTTATTATGCATTATGAATTGTTAACATAATACATTATAAGTATTGATCATAACAAATTATAAGAGCTCATAAGTCGTATTTGTCCGCTCTAAGTAAAGTGAAGCGTACTGCACTAAAGCCTCCTCCAGCGTTCAGAGTGAGGCTTCAAGTTGAAGTATTTACTGAAGGATTTACTGAAACACTAAAACATTCACAGTAAAGCACATTACAGGCTTCAAATGTCAGAGTTTAAACTAGAGCTGCCATCAGTGTTTTACCCAATGTGGGAAAGGTAATGTTCACCACCGTTAGCTTGGTATTTGTCTTCACGCTCTCAAAGCTGGGACTGACTTCTTTGGCACTGACAGTATAACATGTTATTAACACTATTTATAATGCATTATATTAACAATTCATAATGTATGATAAACATGGCTATAAAGTGTAATTCAGTGTAATAAATATTTATAACCACATTTATAATGCCTTATGAATACATTATAACATGTTATAAATGTGTTTATAGATGCTTACAAAGGTGACATTCATAGAAAGTGTTACCCAACAAACTTTAGTTCTAGCTGTGTAGCGCTGATGGAAGCTAACTGGTGAGATATATTGTTAAGAAATTGGACTGTTCTTTGAGTCACGAGTGAACAGTTGGTTCAGCATCTATATGAGGGGCCCAATTAAGATTTTGAGGGTGTCCTGTGTCATGGGCCCCCCATTAGTTAGACCACTGGCTACATTAGCCTTGTAGCTCCAGTGTAGAAGAAACGAAGCAAACTTCAGACACCAAAGGTCTTGCTCGATCAGCCACATTTGTAAGAGTGTAAACTGTATAAATCTGATTATTTGCCAAACTACTGTTCTGATCTAGGAGCTAATGCAGCACAGTTCTAATACCGGAAGCTAACACAAACTGTCTGAACATATAGCTCATTAATGTGCCACTTTACAGGGAGAATTTGCAGTTAGCCAATCGGGGAGTCCATACTGGGGGCGTCCAGTTTGGTATCTCCTATCACAGACATGACAACAGACAGATAAGTGCTCTCCTATTTCACCACCACAAAAGGTCCAATCTAAAGTCTAGAGACACTTTCAAAGCTCAAAAGGTTCAAATCAAAGGAATGAAGTAAGGCTTCTGTCGAAAGGAATGACTCAAAGACTCAAAGAAAAAGAGAGCTGCAAAGTACTGCGCATGATATTTTCCGGAAGTAGCAATTTAAACAGCTTTGAAAGTCTCGACTGCAGTGGTTTGGCAAAAAAAAAAAAAAAAGAAAGAAAAAGTAAAGTAACAATCAATATGAGTCTCACACATGCTTCTCTGCTCACTGTTAAGAATCTACGTCCTTACAACTACCCGAAGAGAGAGAAAAGAACGGGCAAAAACCAGAAGACTGGCGAAAGTTGGCCTGAGGTTTTCTGAGTGAACTCCAAAGACTTCAAAGAATTTGCCCGTCCTTTGGAAGAAATCACGAGAGCTAAAGGAAACACAGCTCTATACCTCTATAGAGCACATACTGCTCTAAAAATAGTCCAGGACTAATGCATGCAGCAAAGCAGAATGCATTCAATACAATCTAGGGCAAACCAGGTTGCTTCAGACGCAGATACAGTCGAGGGGGAGAAGATTCAGTCAAAACAAATTGTACCATTTCCACTCATTTGCTCAATAAATTCAGCCATACTCACTGAAAGTCTCTCTAAAAGACACTGAATTATGATTCTGCGTTAGATAGAGGACGTGGACAGCAGCCTAAATATGGCAGAGAGAAAAACATTATGTGCAGCGAGCATCGGCTGTTATTCAAGACTCGAATTGTGTTTGCACGTTTTGGCGAGCGTGTGAGTCTGGCAGGGAGAGCGGCTCTGAGAATCGCGGATTAGAAGTGCAGTTTCATTTCTGCTGGTACAATTTGTTTCTTCATCTACGGGCTCTGGAGCTACAGCCAGTTCTTCATTGGAAAATGCAATCTCACGTTGAAAAATGGGACTGTTAACATACCGTAATCTTCTCACTGCAACATGGAACATGACATTTACCTGGTGACAAATGAAAGCTCGGCAGGGCTCTCGGTCTTAGGTCCAAAAGAGTTTTATTACTAAAATTTAGAGTTTAATCTGGACTAGGGCTGGGCAATATGGCATCGTACATCGTGGATATCGTGATCAATATAGTGCATATTGTCAAAACTTGTAGAACGCTGACCATCTTCACGTGTCATCATGTGTTATAAAGGGAGCCAAAAAACAGTCTAGTTTAACTGGATTTAGTGCCAAATATGGAATAAAAATCATTGTATTCACATTTTTTCTAACATTTTTTTTCTGATTCATTTCTTAGATGTCTGAAAAAATAAATCCTGTGACACATCATGTATCATGAAATCGTCTAAGTATCACAGTGCTATATTTTTGCCATATTTCCCACCACCAAACTTTTGACTGTTACTGTTTATCTTCTAAACCTAAACACTGTGTTCAGTTTTTGATTCGTTCTTTTTTCTCAGTTCGAGTTGATCAGAAGTCTGAAAAAATAAATATTGTGGCAAATATCGCGATATCATATTTCTGCCATATCGCCCACCTCTAATCTACACATATACTATGTGCCTGTTTAAAATGACTGCAGGACCTTTTACTGTGGCATGAAAAATCATGTTTCAGGTTGCGTGGAAAAGAAACGCATAGATTTGTCCCAGAATAATTTGGAATCTATCCAAACATTTAAAGAGACTTCATTGAATAGATAATGCAGAATGAAATCCCAATATCAAAATCAGAGTCAGTAAAATCGCTGACTGTCTCTTTAAACTATTCCATTCAGGTCAGTAAGTCATGCAGGCTCTTTCAGACCCTCAGCAGGATGGAGTTTTAATAGGTTAAAAATGATAATATATGTATGAAAAAAGCTTGTATGGATGTGAAACAGCAATATCAAAGTATCGCTTTAGGGGGTTAAACGAAATCAAACAAAGGATAATGAAGATCAGAGATTTGAAATGCTGCCATTTTCCTGCTGTGCATTTTCCAAATATCGCAGAGAGAAAGAGAAAGGAGCGAGAGAGGTAGAGAGAGAGAGATATAGAGACAGAGAGAGAGAGATATAGAGACAGACAGAGAGAGAGAGAAAGAGTCAGTCAGACTGGTGCTGTTACCTGGACCCTAGGGACAAAAGGCGTGGTTCTTCTACTAAGGCATGGACTCTGGATAAGCAAAATTAACAAAGAAAAAAAATGCAATAAAACTAAACCAACGGCCCAGAAAAGGCACATAAATCAAAACCACACTACTGAGAGGAGATTTGGCCCAGCAGGCGACCTTCAGTTTCAATCATTTCAACACAGTTCCATTCAAAACACATGCAGCCAACAACTTCTACTGCAGAACTCAAATGTCAAGCAATGAAAAGTCACAATATACTGCTTAAAAATATCAGTGTGCTTTGTGTCGAGGTTAGATTTTGTTTAATTGCATGCTCCACCCAAAAATATGTCATTTTTATAGCTGGAAAAAATCCCATTCAACCGCAGAATCAGTTTATATCACAATACCTACATTTAGAGTCGGTTATTCATTCAGCCTAATGAGAAACTGTAGAACAGACTCAGTTTATACCACAATACCTACATTTAGAGTCGGTTATTCATTCAACCTAATGAGAAACTGTAGAACAGACTCAGTTTATATCACAATACCTACATTTAGAGTCAGTTATTCATTCAGCCTAATGAGAAACTGTAGAACAGACTCGGTTTATATCACAATACCTACATTTAGAGTCAGTTATTCATTCAGCCTAATGAGAAACTGTAGAACAGACTCGGTTTATATCACAATACCTACATTTAGAGTCAGTTATTCATTCAGCCTAATGAGAAACTGTAGAACAGACTCAGTTTATATCACAATACCTACATTGTGATATAAACTGAGTCTGTTCCACAGAGTCGGTTATTCATTCAGCCTAATGAGAAACTGTAGAACAGACTCAGTTTATATCACAATACCTACATTTAGAGTCAGTTATTCATTCAGCCTAATGAGAAACTGTAGAACAGACTCGGTTTATACCACAATACCTACATTTAGAGTCGGTTATTCATTCAGCCTAATGAGAAACTGTAGAACAGACTCAGTTTATATCACAGTACCTACATTTAGAGTCAGTTATTCATTCAGCCTAATGAGAAACTGTAGAACAGACTCAGTTTATATCACAATACCTACATTTAGAGTCAGTTATTCATTCAGCCTAATGAGAAACTGTAGAACAGACTCAGTTTATATCACAATACCTACATTTAGAGTCGGTTATTCATTCAGCCTAATGAGAAACCGTAGAACAGACTCAGTTTATATCACAATACCTACATTTAGAGTCGGTTATTCATTCAGCCTAATGAGAAACCGTAGAACAGACTCAGTTTATATCACAATACCTACATTTAGAGTCGGTTATTCATTCAGCCTAATGAGAAACCGTAGAACAGACTCAGTTTATTTCACAATACCTACATTTAGAGTCGGTTATTCATTCAGCCTAATGAGAAACCGTAGAACAGACTCAGTTTATACCACAATACCTACATTTAGAGTCGGTTATTCATTCAGCCTAATGAGAAACCGTAGAACAGACTCAGTTTATATCACAATACCTACATTTAGAGTCAGTTATTCATTCAGCCTAATGAGAAACCGTAGAACAGACTCAGTTTATATCACAATACCTACATTTAGAGTCAGTTATTCATTCAGCCTAATGAGAAACTGTAGAACAGACTCGGTTTATATCACAATACCTACATTTAGAGTCAGTTATTCATTCAGCCTAATGAGAAACTGTAGAACAGACTCGGTTTATATCACAATACCTACATTTAGAGTCAGTTATTCATTCAGCCTAATGAGAAACCGTAGAAAAGACTCAGTTTATATCACAATACCTACATTTAGAGTCAGTTACTCATTCAACCTAATGAGAAACCGTAGAACAGACTCAGTTTATATCACAGTACCTAGGCAGAGTACAGTACAGTATAAAGTACAGTAGCATTGCTTTTAAAACTGGACTCAACATGTATCAACACTAAACAAGGTATCTACAGTTTCTTATCAGGTTGCATGAGATTTTTCCACCTAGATATGAAAGAACACATTTGTTGGCGGAGCATGGATAGGTCAGTTTATGTTGGACACACAGATAAAGAAAATGTCAACTAATGACCACAAACTTTAGTGTTGTAGACACGTTTTCCAAACTCATAGCCAGCCAGATTATTATTAAGCAGTCGCTGGACTGTATTGAGGAAATATTAACTAAGGGCTTGGAGTTTTGGAAAGCATGTCCATCACATAGATAGTTAACAACAGTTAAAAATGTTATGGACAAAACATTTCAACAATAAAATAACATCAAAATAAATTCTACACTAGGACTGCAAAATATGGTATGGTCATCATTACCGCAATATTAGCAATATCAGCATCTGCAATGTGACACTGCAAACAAGCTGCAGAATGATCAGGAAGTCATTAATTGCTTTCCACTAACATCAGAGATGCTTTCATTAAGAGTGGCCAGATGTTTCTCCAAAATCATAACTTTACAGGAGTTCAGTGGAACCAGAGTTTTTTCCCAAGTCATTTTGGGCCGTTTCTTTTGGTCCATTCATCATAAATTTTACACATGACCATGTAAAGAATAACAGGTATTTTCAAATTATGTCAAAAAAAACTGAAAAACGGAAAAAAAATGGAGATACAAGGTTTTCTACTGACAGCAGCGATATATAATATTATAATAATATAATAATATAATGACAATAAAATTTGCCATTCATGTATCTGCTCTGAAATGAATCTACACTCTTAAAAATATGGTTCTTCAAGGGTTCTTTAGTAAAGATAATGGTTCTATAAAGAACCATGAACACTCAAAGAACCCTTTGCATGATTAAAGGGTTCGTTGCATCATGAAAGCGTTCTTCAGAATGTGCTATAGATGGTTCTATATAGAACCTTTTTGAAAATATTGCACTCAAAAGGGTTCTTCTATTGTTACAATGTCAAGATTGACACAATAAAAGAACCCTTTTGGATGTCATATAGAACCCTTTTCAAAAAGGTTCTATACAGAACCGTCTACAACACATTCTGAAGAACCCATTATGCAAAAGGGTTCTATATAGCATCCAAAAGGGTTCTTCTATTGCTACGTTGTCAAGCTTGTAACAGTAGAAGAACCCTATACAGAAAAATCTACAACACATTTTGAAGAACGGTTTGATGATGTAAAAGGTTCTATATAGCACCCAAAAGCGTTCTTCTATTGTTATGATGTCAAGCTTGTAACAGTAGAAGGTACCCTTTTGGGTGCTGTATAGAATCATTTTCAAACAGGTTGTATATAGAACCATCTACAGCACATTTTCCATTAATCTGAAAAGAACCATTTAATCATGCAAAGGTTACTTTGAGTGTTCATGGTTCTTTATAGAACCATTTTCTTCACTAAAGAACCCTTAAGGAGGCATCTTTTTAAGAGTGCAGAATAAGGATGTTTGATTTACAGACCACTGAATAACTGACAACAGTAAGACTTTTACATTCCAGCATGTTTGGACTAATTCAACATTTGGCTCATCAGTCAGATACACATACTAACCCTTAGAGAAAAAATCAATACCGATTAAGTTTTTAACCTAAAACATGCATTTCCACTGACACTTTGAGTAAGATGGATGATATTCTCAACACTGATATACGGATAAGAAAAATCTAAATATTTTTCGACTGACACTATACACCCTGGAGACAATAAGATTTTTTTGGGGGGAATTTCGTCATGTCACAGCTACAATATCTACCCAAACAATATCCTTTGCTTCTCACAAAGTGGGCAGACTGTGTCTGTAACGTCCAGGCAGCCTGCTAGGTCACCTCCAGCTACTAGGAGGGGCCAAAGAGCCAGGACTGAGTAATTAGGGTCGCAGCTGTGGGCACCCCACTTATGGGTCGCTCACACGCTGTTCGCCACTCAGTCTTGAGTTCACGCTGCCACGTGCACGTTGCTCTGACTCGGCCGGTACCCTCAGTATCTGTCTTGAGTTTCGAGTCTTTGCTTTTCTCAAGTTGTTCCCTAACGTAAGTATTTAAAAAAAGTTTTTTTTTCATTAAAGAACAGAGTTTTTTGGTTTCAGTTTTGGGGAGCTCTTAGTTTGTTTCATCCTTTTAAGTCTTCAGTTAGCATAGCCATTAGCCCCTACGATGGCACGCTGTGTAGCATGTTAGTCTGGCAGCATGGTGACTGAGGGTTCGGTCCCCCTCCTTAATTTTGTTTTTAGTTTCTTAGCTCTGCTCTGCTCTGCACTTGCGGTCATCCTCTCATGTGCGCCAGGTGGTTCAGTGGGTGAGTGTTCCCAACCACTAACATAAGGGTCATGAGTTTGATCCTCGCTCAGGGCAAACCCCCTATTGTTTTAGATTGACCTCCGTTTTAGATTCTGATCCTTTTGATGTTCTTGAAAAAGTTCCATCATCTTGGTTGTCACCATGCCAACACCAGAGACAGCTGATTGGTCAGTGAATTCATGTCATGGGCGAAAGTTTGCAGGGGCAAATAAAATTCTGTAACTTTTCACCGTCCAAAAAATATGTTTGATGTGCAAAATATCATCAGTTTTACACATGCTTGAAATAATTTATACAAACAAAAAATTGCGCTCGGTGCATATTTTTTTTTACCAGTCGTGGTGTCTGACCTGGCTCTCTGCCAAGATAACCAATCTGGTAACAAGCTTGAAAACTAAGTACACATTTTCCACTTGGTGATCCTTTCATAGGGTCAACCGTGTCCCTGAACTCTGGCAATGAATGTCTGGTCTTCACACAAAGCCTTTAGAACCCCATTCTTTATGACAGCAAGCCAACTTTCAGTTTAAGGTAGCACTGAGTTTATTTAAAGCCAGCTCAGGTCTATTTCAAACTGGGCCAATCACTAAGCAGCCTAAATAAGACCGTCCTAAACAGCAGTTCACTGTTTAATGTTAGCAGACTCCTATTTAAAGGAATATCAAACACTCTGCAGTGAAACCTTATTTCAAGTCGGCTGTCCTACATAGAACCCTAATCAATCACTCTAAGGTTTTCTAGTGGTCAGAGAAACAGCAAGCCTGAATTCAACCATATGTGCAAACCCTTGCACTAATCTGTAGCCCAAGAGCATGCTGGGAACTCACTGAAAGCTGTCCAGACAGATACTGCGGGGCGTCACGGAGCATGCCGGGGCTCATGGGGGACGTGACCGAGATGGACGGGCCCATCTTCTGGGATTCAAAGGAACTTGAACCTGAAAAAACAATAACATGTTAACGTTGCACATATTCACCCTGAAAAAGCACACAAATTGAACCTTGAGCGTTCATTCTGACTGATTCTGATATTCAAGTATGCATGAAATTAATAAATGATAAAAATGATCTGGTTAACTGTGAGTAAGGGGGAAAAAATACTTGAAAATCAAAGTATGGCCAGCGGCTAACCCTTTTAGCTGACAGATCTGGCGTAAAGAGGCAAAAAAAAATTTAGCATAAATAAACTTGACAACGTGTTTTATTATCAAAAAAAGCAGGTAGTTTTTGTGTTGGATGATGATGCCTCTAAGCTAAAACAGCTCCACAGCAGAATTAGTTTTGTGGGTAAAAATAAAATCATCCTCCTTTACAGTAAAATAAAGCTCTGCTGATCGTTCAACACAGTTTTACAGTAGCTGATCTTAAATGCTGGAGTTAACGTAGAACTGCTAATTCACCCTTTGACCCTGAAGATCAGCTCAGACTGCTGGCCATAACAATCTGGCCTAGCTAGTAGCTAACGAAAAGGCCAACAGAAATATTTAAGACAAACATCTATAATTTGGAGACAAATTGACTCATTTACATTTATAATCACTCCAGCTGGTTTCCTGATAGGTTTAATCTGCAACGCGAATCTGTTAAACACTAAAAAGTCACAAAGCTGAAGCCAGTTTTTCGTTCAAATTGTCCCGTTCCACCTTAAGTGGTGCAGCAGTTACCTTCTGGTGCCTCAGGCACCATTTAAGGTGGAACAGGAAAATTCAAACAAGAAGCTGGTGAATGAGAAGCGACTTCAGCCTTGTAAAAATCAAGCGCTGAGAGACGTTTTACAAGAAACTGTTCTACTTTTGCAGAAAAGTTTCCTGCTGGAGATGCGAGAAAAGCAGCTATAGCTGAGCTAAAGCTTAAAGTAGAGCAAAGTAAGTCTGTGTTTCCCTTTATATTATATTTTTAGCCTATGCTAGCACATCAGCACATAACTGAGACATATTTACAGCCAAGATGGTAAAATGGACATAAAGTGTTGTGGCTCCCAAGCTGGTTTGATTTTTGCTGAAAGGACAAAATGGCTCTTCTTAATATTTGAATTGTGACCCCTGGTTTTGGCCCTTGTACTTACTAACAAATAAGAGCAAAACTGTAACATTTTATAGCCCTTTACAACCTAAAGTGCCATTTTATTGAATTAGTCTCTAAGCTTTCTTTATCTTCCTGAGCTGAAACAGAACAAATACCCCAGTCGTGACTTCAGAATTTGACACCTCATACGATTAACCGAGTACTCGAGCACCCATGCTCTTCCCCATTTCTAACACGTAGCAAGACTATCAGTTTATAAGTGGGTCCTAAAAGCATCTTCTCTTTGCTTCCTGAGCAGATCAGCTGCAGCTTGTTGATTTTCTCCATCATCAAACAGATTTAGCTAGACCAGGCCAGAGGCTGAGGATGGAGAGCAGTGATTTCCACACCGTTAACAGCAAAAACAGGTCAGGAAAGCCACAAAATCTCTTAGTGGAAGTGCAGACCATGTCTGCAGAGAGGGGAGCACGTACTGGAGTTCTGCTTTGCTTTGTACTGGAATGTCCAGGAGTGCAGGGTAGGAGTGATGTAGCAGGTGAGGTGAGGAACCTTATCACTGACAATAGTGGTGGTGAATGCGGTAAACATTAACTAGGAGGAAGGAGTTTCTGATAATGACACTCACTTGATTCAAGCTGTCCATGTGTGCTCTCTGGTATTCTGGGAATATCACTGCAAGAGACAAGAACATGACACAAGCTCTTATAATAAATAATAACGCTAGGCAATAACACCATTAAAGGTGCAGTGTGTAAGATTTAGGGGGCTCTATTAGTAGAAATGGAACATAGTAAACAAAACCATATTTTCATTAGTGTGTAATCACCTGTAACCATGAATCGCTGTGTATTCATTTAGAATGAGTCCTTCATATCTACGTAGGGAGCGGCTACTCTTCCAACAGAGGCCGCCATGTTGTGCCGCTATGTTTCTACAGTAGCCCAGAACAGACAAACCAAACACTGCCTCTAGAGGGCGTCTTCCATGTTTTTTTATGTTGAAGCAGCAGCTTGAATTTGGTGGCGCTGTAGCTCCGCTTGGAAGACGTAAAAAGAAGAAGAATCTGTGGCCGCTGCCGGTGCTGCTGACCATTTTGTGTTGTGAGAAGTTTGAGAACCCAAATTTTGACAAATGGAGGATCAAACTTATTATTTAGCACAAGAAAAAGCGAGAGAGGGTGGATCCTCACCGTCAGAGAAGAGGAAACATGAAGAAGCAAAACAAAATCGGGACAGACGACAACAGAAAACCTGACGGCCACTGTAGGTTCTACTACACGCTTGGAAAGGGAGGGGTGAGGGAGAGGAATTCAGCTGGTTGCAATCTGCAACCTCACCACTAAACGCCGCTAAATCTTACAAACTGCACTGTTTTATGCAAGTGTCCACTGATCTATAGTGGAGCCTCAGTGGGTGCTGTATCAACTATGCAGACATGCCTCTAGAAAACATTTTTACTATATTATTATGAATCTTAAATCTATTTGCTCTACCACAGCAGAGAAAGCATCTGACATGCCCATTCCTCATTCCGCTAAATCTTACACATTGCATCTTTAATACTGCCTGACCATGTAGTTACTGCTAGTTTCCCAAACAAGGATTAAGCCTAGTCTTAGACTAAAGTGCAATATCAGTGGTAATTCAACACTGAAAATCATCTTTAGTCCAGGCCTAGTCTGGATATGGGAACCTCAGTTCTTCATATTTACTCACCCAATGGGCCGCGAGACCACCAGCTCCACTTGGGGTTCGGGCTTGGACTCCAGAATAATATTGTAAACTTCCTTGAACGTGGCTCCCTGCAAGACCCTGCCGTTCCACTCGAGAACCTGGTCGCCTGCGCAGAGAGAGAAACACATCAACTTAACATTGACTCTGCATGGATCGGTGGGTAAACTAGAGCACAGTGAGGAAATGGTACCAAAAACAACAGAAGCAGGAATCTGTAGCTGTGTCCCAATTCAGGGGCTGCATCCTTCGGAGGCTGCATTTGAAGGCCGATTGGGTCACAGTGGCGCAACTAGGTTGTCCCATTTCAAAGGCTCCTTCATATGTGGCTGAGAAACAACGGGTGGATCCTTCGCTAACCAACACATCCTGGGTTCACTGCGTGGCGGCAAGGATTTGAGAACACAGCGGCGTCAGCAGAGGAGCGAACAGCGGCTGAGGAGACACTTTAAATGTAAGTATTGGGTTTAAACTCAGTCGAATTGCGAACGATACAAATGTTAAAAAAGCAAATGTGGTCTGAAGGAAAACTTTTGTTTTAGGGAGCAAAAAGCAGCCAGAGAGGAGCATCTCCAGCTCTAATAAATGAAAAAATAAAATAAAAATCAAAGTTTCTGGTTCCTTCTTTAAAGAACTTTGACAGGAGCAGCGTTTCGTGATGCAGTGGTTTGGGGGGGAACAGTGGTGCTGTGATGCAAACAGGAAATCCGCCGTAGAGCAGACCGTCTCATTTCGGTTCAGCCTTTTTGGGTCTACGCATCCTTCGAAGTACGCAGCCCCTGAATTGGGACACAGCTACTGACATGCTTTTCTGTGTCATTTGAGATCCAGTACAGAAATCAACGTGTTCTGCTGTAAAGAGAGCTGCTTTCTCTTCTCACTCAAGCTTTGACTGACAAGGCAACATCACAGAGAGACGTATGAGAGAGAAAAGACAGCACATGCGCACCTGGTCGAAGATGGCCAACAGTATCTGCTAAACTTCCCCTCTTCACTTTGGTGATGAAAGCACAAAGTCTACCGGATTCTGTCATCTTCCCACCGACCACCTGTGGCAGAGATGTGCCAAAGTCAGAGACGACCGACAGAAGAGTTTCTGTGTGCACCGAGCATGTGAGCGACATGCCCAGGAATTTCTGAGGTGAGGTGGAATTTCATCAGAATGAATTCATCTGTGAGTTTTACAGGATTCTCTGCTCACACAGTGTAACATCCCATATTAACTGCAAAAGGGTTGAACATCCACAGAGTAAGACAAACAGAACGATCCAGAAGGGGAACACAGAGACTAAAGGTGTGACCTGCACCAAAATTACATTTTTTAGTTCAGTTTGTTCAATAATGGCCTCCACTCTTAAAAAGATTCTTTTTCAAGGGTTCTTTTGTAAAGAAAATGGTTCTGCATAGAACCACGAACATTCCAGGAACACTTTGCATGATTTAAAGGGTTCTTTGCATCATCAAAACGTTCTTTAGATTGATGCAGAATGTGCTGTAGATGGTTCTACACAGCACCTTTTTGAAAATGGTTCTATATAGCAACGAAAATGGTTCTTCCATTGTTACAAGCTTGATATCATAACTATAACGGAACGCCTTTTGGTGCTATATAGAACCCTTTACAGAAAGGTGCTATATAGACCCATCTACAGCACATTCTACATCAGTCTGAGGAAGCATTCGATAATGCAAAGAACCCTTTCATCATGCAAAGGGTTCTTTGAGTATTCATGGTTTTATGTCGAACCATTTTCTTCACCATAGAACTCTTGAAGAACCATCTTTTGTAAGAGTGAAGTGAAGTTCATACACATTGCATTTATTCTGTGATTTAGTGTTTCACCTATTTACACTACACACCATATTTATAATTGAACTCTCCAGTGGTGTAAACTGCACCTGTGTTCCTCTTTCTTTCGGACTTTTTGTGTAAAGGAACAAATTTACATTTCAATTTTTAACACCTCAAACTGTAGCTCTGTTATTCAGATTTACACCGACATATTATACTGTAAAATATGTATTTTGGCAAGAGAAATAATCTGAAAACCAGCCAATATATAGAGTATTTCAGATTGTAATATTATTGTAAGAATATTATAATATTCTACACATTTTGAAATAATTTTATCTAGTTATTCAGATTAGTTTGTTTGTTTCAAGAAATAACTCTTCAAACAAGCTAAATTATCTGCCAATGGAATAAAAGTTTCACTACATAAAATGGCTTAAAAACAAGTATAGATGTCTTGAAATAGATTGAATAATCTTATAATATTTGCACAGCTGTCTGATAAGAAAATTAGAAATATTATAATATTATATACATATCATATATATATATATATATATATATATATATATATATATATATATAACATTTTAAGACAGCTGTATGAATAATGAAGTGTTATTTCTTAAAATAAGCTAAATTATCTGCCAATAAAACAGTTTCACTACATAAAATGGCTTAAAAACAAGTAGAAATGTCTTAAAATAGGTTGAATATTCTTATAATGTTCCTACAGCTGTCTTAAAATGAGAAATGTTAGATATATTAATTATATTTATGATGATTTCACTTGCCAAGATATTGTTTTTTGCAGTGTGTGTATTATTGTTCATAAAGCCAGGCGAACACTGTCTCTACAACAAGGTCTTCAGAGTTTAAGGGGTTAAAAACCGAACAGTAACCCTGCAGTTTAAGGGCTGGAATTCAGACACAAATACATAAACAAATAAGAGGATAACGTCACTGTTATGAATGAAGCTGTAACAGAATCTGTCTGAACGCAGCAGCAGTTTGTAATTCGGTCATCAGTCGTGGCTCCCAGCGGCCCCGTTTGTGTGAGCTGTGTTCAGCATTACCTTCAGGCCCAGCAGAGCGCCGGTGTCTCTGGGCACCGTGCCATCCTTCATGCGCTTGTTGAGCAAAATCCGCCCAATTAGGCGATCCCCATCTTTGGACGGTTGCCATGTCACCGGGTGCTGCGAGGTCAAAGTGAGAAAACACCTTTTGTTTTAAAACAAGTGTCTACATTCCTGAAAAAAGACACGCGCACACACACACACACACACACACACACACACACACACACACACACACACACACACTCAAACACACACACACAGACATGGACTTGGAAAGAAGAAAGAGGAGGAGCAGCTGTCGCACGTCTCCCTGAGGACAGTTTGCTGGGCCAACAGTCGTCCAAATGGAGGGACAGGTGTGTTATGTAGAGGTGCTTCGCAGAATTTTTGCTGGTGATCCTCTCAAACAGTGAATGCACAGAGAGTAAGTCAGTATATCCTTTAATGTTTAAAGAAAGTCTGGCCAAAATTCAAATCACAGTTTTACCCCTAAGCCTAAATGTTTGTTTGGACTGGTTGGAGGTTTGTTTTGTTCATTTTGGCTGGAGCTACAAGGCTAATAATGTAGATACCAAGTATAGTAGCTTCTGAACACAAGTTAGCATTGTGCCCAAATTACCACACACTTGTCTCCTCAAGCTGTGTGAAATTAAGGAAAATCCAACCATTTTACAAAATTTCTGCCTAACTAAATCAATGAGACTGACAGAGCCATTCAGAGTGGTTTGGAGTGAAATGGTTCAGATGTCTTTACAGTGGTGGTGATAGGAACCAGGGGTCGCCATGACTACAACACAAATATAGACATTTTATTTACTATCCAGAACCACCAGTGAACCTACACGAGTCTTCTGGGTTTATATGGAATGTTGATGAAATAATAAAATCTGAAATAATACGTTTTCTTTGGGGACTGTTTTGCCTCACAACACCCTGCATGTATCCCTCCACCATGAATGGGTTTTTAAAAACAAGTTTTAGGCAATATATTTAGACAATGCATTCATAACCATTTCATGTAGGAACTTTCTGTGAGGGAGCTTTTAGAGGTGGACGTCTGGTTCCTATCACCACCACTGTGAACAGTTCTGACTCTGTAAGTTTCTCTAGAACGGAGCGTTTCACACCAAACCACTCTGAACGACCCTGTTTTAGAAAGTTTATGTCTTAACATTTGAATTATGATGGAATCCCCCTTAAATAATCTCAAACAGACTTGATTATGTGGTGTCTGACATTGTATGACACTGTTTTCTGGACTAACATGGACTAAAGTACATTAGCATTAGCTAAAAACAGTGGTACATTTGTCCATGTTTATAGATAACAGTGTGCCATACAGCGTCCGACACCACAGTCTATTTTAGATCACCCTCTAACCGCTCAGAACAGAGTACGGTAAGTTTGCGATGGTTTAGATTAGCGGTTTGCATGATGCTAATTGGTGAGGTGTTAGCTTCCATTACTTGTTAGCTACATTAGCCTCGCGGCTCCAGTTCTAAAACTAAAAAAGCAAACTTCAGACGGCTGATCGACTACGTTTGAGATAAGAGGAGAAACTGTGTAAATCTGATTCTCTATCAAACTAATCCTTTCATTTTCATGTAACTCTTTTAGCGAGTGGATGGTATCGCAGCCGGTTGGCCTCAGGGTCAGAGTACGTGTTCACGGCAGACGAGAAGAAAGGAGGCAGAGAGTCATGCGGAGGAGGGTGTTCAGTACAGTGACCCAGTGCAGCAAAACCAAGTGGAAGAAAACAACACAAGAAGAAGAAGAGAGAGAGACGAGGGGAGGGCAGAGCCGAAACGAGGCACACGACAGCGTGAAAAGGGAAAAAGAAAAACAATCGCTCCTGTGTGAGGTCAGTCACGCTAGCCTACCCTCGTGTTGGAGGCCGAGAACGACGGACTGAGTGTGAAAAAAAAAAAGTCTGAGGGGAGGAGTGTGGGAGGGTCAGGTGGAGGGGTGAACCTTAATCTGACCTGCAGCAGGGGAGCCAGGCCACAGCGGCTAACAGCAAACATGCAGCAAAAAGACAGGAAGGAGTGGCAGGACGTCTTTCAGGACCTTTTCTGGGTCCGTATTGAGAATCGCAGACAGAAAGCAAACAGCAAAGCAAGCAGGAGGCTTCGCTCAGGACCTCCAGAACTCAGGAGAGGATTCAACAGCTAAGCTGCTGTGACCCTCTGAAGTCAGGTTTAGTTTAGAATTCATTCAGAGACACAAACTGTAAAAACGACTTGTGTTTCAACTTAAAGTACAAAACCCGGCCGCCTTAAAACTGACCTCACTGCACTTAATAATACATTAACAGACGGATTATTACTCTGTTGACCCATTCATGTCCAACAGCTATACTTTGTACTAAAGAAATGTCTCCGGGTAATCAAACTATACGGTTAAAAAGTGAGTTTTTGTCATTATTTATCAATTTATGTCTTTTGGTCACATGGCTACTGCCTTTTAACCCCTTAAATGGCCAGGGCCCACCAGCCGGAACAGAGTTTTAGAGCTCAGCCAGTTTACTTTGAAGGCCCTGTAGTTACTGAATAATAAGCCTTAGTATGTAATAAGCCTCAGATTTTAAAGGGTTAACAAAGCAATAAAAAAATCCAAGTTTTATTGTTAATAAAAGTATAAAAATTACACGCAACCAAAAAATTCACAAGTGTACTCATGTTTAAAGTATAAATAAACAACATTTCATCACTTTAGACCCATTAGAACAAATTCTGATGCATTTTCTTTAGCATATCGCTGCTGTCGGAACAAAACCTCGTACCTCCATTTTTGTCATTTTTAGTTTCTGACATCATTTAAATACCTAAAATACCTGTTCCCTTTTACATTGTGTGTAAATTTCATGCTGAATGGACCCAAAGAAATGACGTGGGAAACATTCTGGTTCCATTGACTTACATTAAAAGTAAAGAAGATTTTTGGAGAGGTTTTGTTCCAACAGCAGCGATACAATCTTAAAAAAGAAGGTTCTTCAAGGGTTCTTTAATAAAACAAAATGGTTCTATATATGCCATGGTTCTATATAGAACCATGAACACTCAAAGAACTCTTTGCATGATTAAAGAGTTCTTTGCATCGTTAAATAGTTCTTCAGATTGATGGAGAATGTGCTGTAGATGGTTCCATATACTGTCTTTTTAAAAAGGATTCTATATAGCACCAAAAAAGGTTCTTCTATTATACCAAGTTCGACAATAGAAGAACCCTTTTGGGTGCTGTATCGAATGATTTTCAAAAAGGTTCTATATAGAACTATATACAAAACATTCTCCATCAATCTGAAGAATGAATCTGAAGAATCTGAAGTTCTTTGCATGGTGAAATGGTTCTTCAGATTGATGGAGAATGTGTTGTTTATGGTTCCATATAGCACCAAAAAGGGTTCTGCTATTGTTACAATGTTATATATAACCATATGCAACAATCTGAAGAACCATTTCACCATGGAAAGAACCATTTAAACATGCAAATGGTTCTTTGAATGTTCATGGTTCTAAATAGAACCACTGTCTTTACTAACAGTGTAATGCAGGGCTGAACTATGAGCATTATTCAGGTATCGACATGCACATTCTCCATCAATCTGAAGAACGCTTTTATGATGTAAAGAACCCTTTAATCACGTAAAGAACCTTCTTCTTTAAGAGTGTATGCTGAGGAAAAATGCAAAAGAGTTTGTTCCAATGGGTCTAAAATGATAAAATGTTTATACTTTGAACATGAGTACAATTTTTTGTTTATGTGTAATTTTTATACATTTATTAACAGTAAAACTTTGGAATTTATATTGTTTTGTTTACCACTTAAAATCCCAGGTTTATTACATACTAAGGCTTATTATTCAGTAACTACAGGGACTTCAATGCAAACTAGCTGAGCTGTAAAGCTTTGGGCTGGCTCTTGGGCCCTGGTGGCTTAAGGGGTTAAAAACCAGTAACCATATGGGACCAAAAGACATAAAATGATAAATAATGACAATAATGACTAATTTTTAGCCATATGGTTTAATAAACTGGAGACATTTCTTCAGCTTTGTGCTTAGAAAGCATATCGCTGTTGTCAGAAGAAAACCTCATATCTCCATTTTTGATGTTTTTCAGTTTTTGACATCATTTGAAAATACCTGTTATTCTTTACATTGTGTGCAAATATCATGATAAATGGACCAAAAGAAATGATCCAAAAATTACTTGGAAAAAATTCTGGTTCCATTGACTTACATTAAAAGTAAAGGAGGTTTTTCCCTTCTCCTGTAAAGTTCTGATTTTGGAGATACAAGCTTTTGCTCCGACAGCAGCGATAGGTACCAATAAACACAGCTCACATACTGACATTAAAGGGTTAACTTATTCTGGAGATTTGTATAGTTTCAATGCAGCCAGGTTACGAATTCACTATTATTAAGTTAAAACAGCAAATCTGTTTACAGTGCAGAGGGCAGCAGTGGGTCAGCAGTGGGCAAGACAGCTAGGAGGTGAAAGAGGAGCAGGCTGGAGACACAGAGCCGGTACCTTCTCGCTATGGCCATGCTCCTCGTTTAGCGTCGTGCTACTGCATGTGTCAACGCCCGAGTCTTTGACCTGAGGTTCGCACCACTCCTCCGCCTCCTCTTCGAGGGAGCGCTCCCCGAATCGCACCGTTCTGCTCTTTTGCCTCTCGGACAGTGCATAAGCAGGATCCAAAAAATATGTCTGCTCGATTGTTTTTCTTTTTCCCCACTGACTCACGCCTACAGGTTAAGGATACGTTTAAAAAAGGAAAAAACAAACAGGAAGAAAGGGAGAGGTAGAGAAAAAAAAGAAAACAAAAAACATGCAAAGGTGAATAAAATCAGGGGATAATGGGACGGATGAAGACACAGAGGGGCGGACGCCTCACCATAGACATAGGGGAGGCCTCACTATGCCAAGACGCATGGTCCCACCAGTGACCATCCATATCTCCTGTGGGCAGAGCACATGTGAGCAGGACAGAAGAGGACAAGTATCCCTCACACACACACACACACACACACACACACACACACACACACACACACTAGGGCTGCATAAGCTGGAATAAGTAACATATTGCGAATACACTGCAGTCGACGTATGCCTTCCAATACACAGCTGTACAGAGCAAATAAAAAATATTCTATACAAAGATCATCATTAACATCCTCGTCAAATCAACTCAAGCTTTATTGCTCAAACACATAGCCATACACAGTATAACCCGCAGTGAAATGCTTATCCGACTGTCTGTTATCTTGAAAAACAGAAAATACAATACAAAAAATTATAACTATATAATAATACAATAATATAATCACTGCACATGTCAGCCGTTACATTACTATCACTGAAGTTTGTTTGCATCAAACCAATAAACTTGTAGAGAGGAGAACTCCCACTCTGTAATGCCTTCTGGGCTTCTCAAACACTAGAGGGCGCTCCCGAGCGACTCCAAAGTGAATGGGTTGATATGGAGCATTTGAGCAAAATCATAGTTTGTAAATGCTTCAACATTTTAATGTAAAAAAATTAAATCACTTCCTGAACACAGAACAGCGTAAAACATTTTAACACTGCTGTTATATTTTTAAGAGCTTTTAAACTCGAGTTATAGGAGATTGAAATGGCGCCTCATGTACGTTCATGATGTCAGTGAGTGCGAACAGCCAATGAGCTGCTCCGCTCGCCAACCAATCAGCACTGTTAGTGTCAGTAATGTTAGACCTGCTGCCCAAAACCTGTTTGATGTAGAAAAAAGGAAACTTACAGGTGAGATTTCTTTGTTTTTTTACTGAAATCCATCCGTCTACTTTCTAAAATTAAAGGAAAGTTCTGGCTCAGTGATTAGAAACTATTTTAACTTCTTGTTTTTAGCTGTTGAGCTCCATTTCCTCCCATTCATTGAGGACTCGCTTGTGGGTGCCTCTGCTGTTTAGCAGTCAAGTTTCTGACATAATGGGTGTAATAGGAAGTGACCAGGCTCCTCATAAAGAGGCTCTGATCACTGCACTGGGCATCAGTGTTAGTGCTACTGTCAGCTTTAGTGTTAGCTTGTTTGAAGGGGCAGCCTAACTTCATTCTCAGATTCATTTTTTTGCTTTCAACACAGAAACATTTACATTACCTCAATCCTCAAACGTGATCAAAAATGCTGTAAAAGTAAGTATCTTTCAAATAATAACAATTTTCTAATGTTCTCATTCATGGCTTAGACTAGAAAAAACAGATGTGCTGGTATTCAAGGACAATAAAACAGCTGTAGAGCTTAACTTATAGAAAATTATCACAATTTATATCGCAGTCACAATATCAGCCCACAATTGGAGATTTTCCCCAAGTCGTTCAGCCCTACAGTAATGATCATTAACTATATATTACAAAGCCCTAACACACACACACACACACACACACACACACACACACAGAGGCATACAGTCCCACACACATATTTACAGTACTCATAAAGATAAGCACATATTCCTTCCATCACTTGCTCCTCTTTTCTCATACAGGCCCAAACACACAGCTCCACAAGATGTAAGTCACCTCTCACTGCAGTGCTCTTTATGCACACAGATACAAATGTATATTGATTAGCAAACGTTAAAACAATATTAAAAGTGTCCCAGTGTCTCCCAACCATTCCCCGCTGTCCAAAGGAAGACATGTATCTCCATTTTCTTTTTATTTCCTTTCATGATTTCACGATGATTGGACCAACAGAAATAGTCCAAAACTGCTTAGAATAAAATCTCTCTACATTAACTTGCACTGAAAGTGCAGAACGTTTTGGCCTCTCCTGTAAAGTTGCCATGTTGGAGATACTTGTTTTTCTTTGGACAGTGACGAATTGCAGAACTAACCAACTGAACAAAACTCAATTTAACAAAACAGAACAAATCTACTATGTCACTGATGAACTTAACCCTTGTGTGGTGTTGGTGTGTTTGTTACTCAGTGGTCTGCTGGACCCACCACATTGTTGTTTATTAAATCAATACAGTCAAATCAATTTATGTAAAAAAAAAAAAAACCAGATGTTTAAAAATATCACAAGTGTCCAGCGTAGGGTTCTCCTTTAGCAGCTGTAGCCAGTCAGCAGCCTGTCCATGTTGTCCACCCTCACACACACACACACACTAACAGCAGGCCATGTAGGAGGAGAACAGAGTGAAGGACACAGCACCTCCACACTTTCCCCCCCACAGGTTCACCCAACACCACATGTGTAATATAAATGTGTGGGGGGTGAACAGAGTGAAGACACTGAAAATGGGTTATTTTATATGATCTTCACAGAAAATGAGCAAAGAACAAGAATCTGAGGCTGAAATAATAATAAATCACATCATTTTTTCTTTTGGTAAACACTGAAAACGGGTCCCACAGACCTGAACACCACACAAGGGATAAAACATTCAGCAGCCCAAAAATAATGCTGTTAACAGCTTCAGTAAGTTGTTATATGTGCCAGTTAGACGTGTCTGGATATTTAAAAATAAGTCACCGTCTTTAAATGACTTTTGCTGTAATGCTCCTTCAAACTGAGGAAGACACAGACGTCATAGCAGGCAATGAAGGTTTAAACTGAAGGCCATGTGCCCCAGTCTGGCTCTGAAGGCTGCAGTGTGTCCGTTATGTTGGCGTGGCCGTGTCTGATGATGTTAAAGTCTAGACTGGAGTGACGTGGGTTACAGTGATGGTGCGACTTAAACAGCTTTTAGACAGTGAACCTCATCAAGTTTACAAAGACCATTCATTTCTACATCTCTCATCTGTCTGTCGGTTCCAAGCTTAAAACATACCAACCGATGGAAAAACCATATGGAAAAATATATTTGGACACATTTTTATATATTTGAAATACATTTCAAATACATTGCAGTCGATGCTGAAATACACTCCAAACAGTAAAATGTATTTCAGAATATTTTGCCATATTAACCAAATATATTTTAAAATACATTCATTTTAAAATGTTTGGGGAAATAATACACATAGAAATGTACCATACAAAAATAAATGTATGAAAATGTTTTTATCAAATCCATTTGAAAATTTATGAAAACAGTCAAATCTTGTCTGATGCTCTTCACTGTCTGATACCTTAGAAATGAATTTGTGTTCCAGTATCTTCATTTTAAATCTGATCAAATGATCCTTTAACAGGACAGAAGCGAGTGTTGTGGGTATTGATACTCTGTGAAAATGTAGTTATGATCTGATATCTTGTTTATCTGAAATACATTGTGTGTGAGAGTCTGACTGCAGACGGACATGGTTAATGTAAAGAACAGTGCAGATCACAGAGGTCAGTACCGTTCATTCAGCTCATGTATATTTAGTTCTGTCTGTAAGCTTTGTTAAAACTACAGTTGAAAAAATATGATAACTAAAACAAATAAATGCATTTGAGAAATATATTTAACAAATAACAAACAATAACAAATTTCTTGGCCATTTTCATACATTACAAAAATATATTATATATTTATATTATATATAAATATATTTGGAATTTATATTTTTCCATATGAGAAATATGACACTGCTGCATAGGCTTATATATATCGCTGCTGTCGGATCAAAACCTTGTATCTCTGGAGTCGTAACTTTACAGGAGAAGGAAAAACCTTCTTTAATTTTAATGGAAGTCAATGGAACCAGACTTTTTTCTGAGTCATTTTGGGCTGTTTCTTTTGGTCTATTCTTCATGAAATTTACATACAATGTAAAGAACAACAGGTATTTTCAAATTATACCAAAAACTGAAAAACGACAAAAACGGAGGTATTGTTCCGACAGCAGCGATATATATATATATATATATATAATAACATAGAAAAGAAAAGAACATTAATATATAATAGATATAAGCGTATTGCTTAAAGCTTGACGAAACATATCTGAGACTAAAGACATGATAATTAACTTCAGAAGATTTCAGAAGGAAATTACGTCTATTAAGGGTCAGTTAGTGCAATATGTACAATCTTACAAATATCTTGGGGAAAAAAAATCAAAATCAAATCAAAACTGAACTTTGAAGTTAATCGTGAAGGCGTGTGGAAAAAGGGGCACTGGCATTTGTATTGTTTGAGTAGCTTGTCCTGTTTTCACATTGACAAAACCATGACGACCCTATTCCGGTTCCATTTTAACGTTTTGGTAGCGCGGTCTGGAAAACAATCTTTAAAGAACAGAAATTCTCTGAATCAAACTGTTAAACGGTCTGGTCGGCTGACCGCTGAGTCACAACTGAAGCTAAAGTCCCTGTACACCAGACAGGTAAAGCGGATAGCTGATTCGATTTTAAATGACCACTCCAGCCCTCTGAACACTGAATTTTACCTGCTCCCTCTGGATGTAGGTTTAGAGTCCCAAAGTGCAGTGGCATATAAAAATAGCTTTGATCCAACAGCCATTACTCAGATGGACCATTGGGTATTTTTATGTTTTCTGATGATGATAGGGCCAAAATAAAGCAACCTGAACATGAACCAGCTACATCACATGCTGCACTAACATGTAAGGGTGTTTCATAAAAAACTAAACCAATATAAAACATAATTTCATAAAACATATCCAATAAATTAGTGTTACTTTTTGCTAACCTCCAAACATCTCTCATTTTCTGCCTCTACTGTCAATGATCAAACTGGGGTGCAAAACTGGGTGGAGCCTATCACAGTAAAGTGGGCGGGGCTTGCGCTACGTAAAGAATTATGCTTAAATGACTTTGTTTTCTTTTCTGAAGTCACTTACAAATTCTACAGGTTGTGATCTTGGGGGCTTGAGGGCGGCGCAGAAAACACAGAAACTTCTGTTTGAGAATTCACATACAAACTGAATGGAAAATCAGTTCAAACCTGTATATATGTGCCACACATTCCTTCAGCAGGGACTCCAATTCCCATAAGCCCTTGGGTAATCACGTGACTCTGTCT